GAGGTCTGGAGTCTCACCTCGTTAAATACACGTGTTATAAAGTGAACTGCACAAACATACAGAACTCTTCACATTGGTTTCCTTCTCTTCTCTTCTACAGAGGTCGACATGCAGACGCTCTAAACTTGCTCCGTATAATTTAACTTTCAGTCTTTTTCTTTTTCAATGTGAAACTTACATTTCTGTGCAGCATTCAGCTGGTGAAATATGTTGCAAGAGATTTCAAATCTAACAGACAAACAACTGCATCATGACAACTAAATCATGTGTTGATGAACAACATGAAGGGAACAGAGCAGAGACTCTGGGCTGCTGTTAAGGAACCGACGTGAGAATGAATGAGATTTACTGCTGTTGATTTCTCAGTGAACTGAACGTATTCAAGACCGTTGGTCATTTGAATACGTCGCCTTTCTTATGAACGACTTTCATACTTTTGTCATTTCATTTACGAAACATTTTAGCCAACTAATAACACAAATACGTCAACTCACTCAGAAACTCACACACCAAACGATACGCAGCTCAGTGTGGACGCAGAGCAGAGACAACCTGCGTCAATAGAACAGGACCTGCACCTCCATCAGCACTGAGTCCTGGTCCAGAGGCCGCGGTGTAGAGAAGGTGAAACAGAAACATCGCCTCAGTGTTTCTCACACAGAGCAGGTCATCTGGTCCAAAGAAGAGTCTGCGTTCATCGACATGAAGACAGCGTGAGCAACAAGAGTCTCCATCTTGTTCTGAATAGAAAGCTGTCAGCAGGAAGCAGCAGCTGCTGGTGTGGGTCTGAAGGACTCGCTGGTCCTTGAGGGTTCCCACCAGGTGCTGCAGAATAAACACGACAGCTCGTTTTATAATAAGAAAATGGGTTTTGTATGAAGATGCACTTGTAACCTTGAAAATAAATTAGTTTATTCAGTTGGTGGTTCTCCGCTCCCGTCCTCTGAACGTGCTCTCTGTTGATTCAGCCAGAGGGGGGGGGGGCAGAGACACTGTGACATCACTGATGATGGACTCACAGCGCCACCCGGTGGGCCACACCACAACGACAATGTAATAATGTCTGTTTACCTTACTGCTGTTATTAACGTGTAAATAAAGGCGACTGTGGAACATCTCTCTGAGTACGGCGCTTCTGTTCCTGTGGAAGCTGTGAGTGAAGAACAGGAGGAGTTGCAACAGACCATTAGAACCAGGTTCTAGTCCAGGAGGGTTTGTTCCCTTAATTATGATTCTGAATGAGGTTCAAGGCCTTCAGGATGTTTCAAGAGTCCTTACGAGGACTGAGGACCTGAGTTACAAGAGTCCACGACCCCTCGACAAAACCTCTTGAGTGTGGGTGGGTTCAGGAGTTCTTGAAGGATTTAAGGAATCCCTGAGCGGTTCGTCAGGTATCCTAAAGGAGGCCTAGGAGTCCTCGAGATGGAGCTCAGAGCACAGCACCTCCACACAGCTCGAGAAACAAACATGGAACCAGCTGAGCCAGCAGCTAACGGTGATGCGAGTCACTGACTGGGTTCTACAAGTCGAGGTCAGAAGGAGTTCCTTCATGACGTCCCAGAGGCTGGAGGAGACACGGGCTGCTGTCCGGGGATCGCTGAGGTTCTTCGAGAAGTGATTTAGTTTGTGTGAATGTAGAGAGGGTGAAGATGTTCCAGAGAACTGAAGATGAAGAGATGAAGAGTTCTGAACAACATAGATATTCAGTCTGTGGAGAGACTAAAACAACGCTTTGTGTTTACATACAACCATCGGATCTACTGTTTTATTGTAGATTTATTCTTTTCTTCTCATTTAAAGTAAATTCATACAAACACAATATTTTAATTCATTAATCCTATTCGTGACATTTTATCAGCAGATCAGACGTATTGAATAATTAAGCTGCTAAAACAAACCGCGCTGGTTCACTAGAAGCTGTTTTAAATAAAGTGTTGTGCTGCCACCTGCTGGCGTAAAATAACATCAACTAGTTGATCTCTTCATGGACCGAACATGTTCAGCCTCGTTGTGAAGATACACGGAGTGAAGATGAAGATGAACAGAGTGACCTGATGGAGACGGCTGTACGTATGTAGAGACTGTCAGCGTGTTATTTTAAGATCAGAATTAATTAAAACGGCCTGAAAATAAATCTCTCAGCAGCAGTCTCCAAGTTTAAACGTCTTTAACAGTTTTAACATCTCTAAGTGATGATCAATACGTTTCGGCCTCGCTGTCCATGTGACCGGACATTAAACACAAACGACAGAAACATGAAGATGAGTTCTCAATCAAGTGGTTTTATTTCTTCATGTCGTACAGTGTTGTTGGAGCGTCGACTTCAGGGCCGGACGATGAATATGAACATCACGTCGTGACACGAGACCGTCTTAAGTTTTAAATGTCGTAACGAGAAGCGAGCGTCGTCTGTGATGTCATCAGACTGCTCCAGCTGTTAGAGCGGTCTGCATATATTTAATAATTATTCTGCGTAGAGCCAGAATATTCTCACATATTACTCATGAATTAAATATGAATTTAGACCAAAACAGAGTTTGTTGGAACGTTTTCTTCGTCCGGTGAAAGTTTAATAGTTTAGATGCTAAATGATTTCCTTCGTTGGCGTGTTTATTTAGTTTACGTCAGACTAAAAGGGAGTTTTTGTGTAAAGTAGTTGCAGCTCGCGCGCAATGCATCCTGGGACATGTAGGCGCAGCTCTGCAGCCGTTACAGATCATCTTCCTGTCTAATCACAGAGCCATCCTCCAGCTGAATACATCAACATCAGCAGTGATCGATCCACATGGAACAAACAAAGGGTTCATTTCCCTTGAAGGTGTAGAAATGTCTGTTAAGAAAATATAGAAAAATACATTTGATATAAATATGTCTCGGTCCATCTCCACACCAACGTGGATAAATATCAATGTTCATTTATTCCTCCTCGTGTTTAACAGCAGCAGAACAGAATGGAGAACGGTTCCGTCTCTTCCTCCTCCGACTGTCGATGAACCAGTTTCAGTAGAAAACAAAGCAAAGTCAAAGTAAAACCAGGAAACCTTTAGATCCACAACACCGACTGTGGTCAGAACTATTTGTCCGGGTTTCACTTTCAGAGTGGAGCTCAAATCTGATGGAAACGTAACACACAAAGTAGAGCAGCCGGTGTGGAGGCGGAGCATCAGTGGACACTCGTCCCTCAGCTCTGCTCTGTCTTCTGTCCCACGTGTGTGCGAATGTGTCGCTTGTAGTTGGAGTTGTCGCTGAACCGGCGGCCGCACTCGTCGCAGCAGTACGGCTTCTCCCCCGTGTGAATCCTCAAGTGTTTCTGATAGCCGTCGAACCGCGTGAGCCTCTTCCCGCAGATGTCGCACGTGTACGACTTGTCCACTTTGGTGCCCGCCTTGCGGTGCACCTGCACGTGTTTGGCCCAGTGGCCTCGCTGGGCGAACGCGCGGCCGCAAATGGTGCAGATGTACGAGTCCAGCACCTCGGACAGCGACGCGTCTAGCGAGGCGGACAGCGACGCGTCTAGCTCCACGCAGTCCAGCTGGCCGTTACCCGCCGCGTCGGGGACGTCCTCGTCCGGGTCCGAGCCGGTCTGCTGCAGCGAGGTGCCCGGCTGGGGGTCCGGATCCGAGTCGCCCGGGTCCTGGAGCTTTGAGAGCGAGGAGGTCATGCGGTCGTCCTCCCGCTCGCTTGTCGCACTGCCGCTCTGGAAGAACACGAACTTGACGTCGTTCTGCTCCGACGTCTGAGACGCCTCCTCCTGCTGATGATTGGTCCACAGCTCCTCCTCCTCCTCCTCCTCTTTGATGGGAGGAGGCTCGATGTCGCTGAGGCCGGAGCTCCAGTCCTGCTGCTCACAGAGAGCTGAACAAAGAAGAAGAGACACGTTTAGAGGCTGGTTGTGTTTCAATGATCCAGACATGAAGGAGACCCGAGTGTTTCATACTTTACCCCATAAAGTATGAAACAAAGACTCCGTGGTGCTTCAGCTAAACGCTAACATCAGTATGCTACCGTGGTGGAATGTAACAAGTACTCAAGTACTCCACTTAAGTACAACTTTCAGATACTGGATGTTACTTCAGTATTTCTGTTTCATGTCTTTCTACTTCTGCCGCTCTACGTTTTACTGCAATATTTTGACAAAATAAGTTTCCAGTTACTTTGGAGATTCTGATTATTAAAACAAAAACAAACTAATTACTCACTAGTATAAACAAAATATAAATGCTAGCCCCACCTTTACTAGCTGCAACATTAAAGTGATGACGACATTAATAATTATAAAACAATAATAGAATATTATTCTTTCTGCATAATTAGTCCTTTTACTTTTGGTACTTTTAATATATTTTGATGCAAATACTTTGTGTGTACTTCAGTACGTTGTGTGTACCTCAGGTATAAATTGTGTTGTAAAGGTTCATTTCTGGAAAATTTAAATCAAATGAATATAAACATAAATGAAGAGAGAAGTAGAGTCATTTTCTCATAGACTTCTATACAACCAGAGGAGTCGCCCCCTGGTGGTCACTAGAGAGAATGCAGGTTTGACACATGAAGCTTTGAGGTCTCACTACGTCACAAACAGCAGCTTCAATATTTAAAGGAGACACCTCGCGACACATTTGGGTGATTAGAGTTTCTACAAACTGAAATAAAACAATCCAGTCGGTTGTTTGTGGCCAATCACATTGGGTTTCCTCTACTATGTCACACGTTGTCGGTAAACCGGTAACGTTAGAGAGACGTTACTGTTGTCGGTGAACCGGCTAAGACTCGGTGAACGTTACTCGCCTGAGCTGTTGACCTGCAGAGATATCTGCGGCTTCCTGGAGAGGTCCAGCAGCCGGCGCTGGCGGTCGATCTCCAGCTTGGAGCGGGAGATCTCCTCCTCGTACTCGGCTAAGGTTCTCCCGAACACACCGAAGATCTCCTCCGCGGCGGCGGTGAGCCGCTGGTTGATGAGCAGCCTCAACATCTCGATCTTAGACATGTGAGCGGCGGTGTGTGCGGCGGACTGGCGATACGAAACGGGAGAAGTTCGCTCTCCGAAGCGTCGTGGTCGGTTGTTTACTCGTTGCACTTCCGGGTTAAAGTCTTTGCGCATGCTCAGTGAGTTTTTCAAAGGTACCCATTGGATTAGACGTGTGGGTTTACTGCCACCTGCTGGACTGGAGGTCTACATACACGTTTTGATTCTGTTATTTTTAAAACATTCATAACATTTGCCTTCAGATAATCATTAATATTATTATTATTGTTTTATTCATATTTCATGTCCTGCACTTTAAATTCTAGTTGCAATAATCTTTCAGTATCTGATAGTCTGTGTAAATTTATATGTTCTCAAATAACACAAAATGAATGAGACACTTTTTACAAATGTATTTAAACAGTTTGTTTAAGATTTCAGTGCCTTTATTGCTTTTCAGTGTCATTTGTATTTCACCGGTTTTCTCTGTGGTACATTTATTTATTTCTTTTTTAATTTCATTTACAGAATTCAAAGAGATCAGGGCCCCGTTCCTCGTACGTGGTTCAACTGAGTGGATCAAATGTCCTGTTAGCAGCCTAAATTAAGGAGATGATTGACATCAGGCTATCTGGGTTCCTCCAAGGCTGATCCTCTCAAACAGTCTCGTTAATTGGAACCAGACGATCAGGATCAGGATAATTGCGTGTGCCCGTCCTGCTTCAAAAGGGGGAAGCGTCGATCACCGAAACCATGATTTTCTAACAGTACAATGTTAAATAAAGTCAAAGAAAGAGCCTCTTTTTACTCCGCTGACGAGCAGGAGATGATCATGAACGCATATGAGGAATTCAAGACCATAATCACGGCTAAATATAACACCTCCACCGCTGCGAGGGCTAGACAAGAAGCACGCAAAATATCACACACACGTTAAATGCGTAAGTGTTGTAAATGTATCGGCTCATTTTAACGCCTCATCACCCCAATCAATCAGATGATATGTCTTTAAATGAGCTGCTGGCAGTAGGCTTAATGAATGCATCATCCAATGAGATCTATAGCGACAATAATGATCTCAACTCTTTCACAATAAGATAAAAACAAGCCCAAAGAGCATCTACTGATCCTCATTAATATGAGGATATATGTACTGTATGCCCTCATGTATCATGTACTATATATGTGTATATACATGTATGTGTAGATCACCATATAGAACTAGTTTGAATATGTGTGTGTGAATCTGTGTGTGTGCGGATCAGTGTGTACAGGTGCATCTCAATGAATTAGAATATCATCGAAAAGTTCATTTATTTCAGTAATTCAATTCAAAAAGTGAAACTCATATATTATATAGATTCATTACACACAAGGTGATATATTTCAAGCGTTTATTTCTTTTAATTTTGATGATTATGGCTTACAACTAATGAAAACCCCAAATTCAGTATCTCACAAAATTAGAATATTACATAAAACCAATTTAAAAAAAGGATTTTTAATACAGAAATGTTGGCCTACTGAAAAGTATGTCCATGTACAGTATACAGTATGTACTCAACACTTGGTCGGGGCTCCTCTTACAGGACATGGGAGCAAGTAAACACCAACACACACACATTACTCAGAATGCTGAGTCAGTACAATATGTGCCATGGTGATGTAATGAACACATCCATAAGTTTATTAAGCGCCTAATAAACTTTACCAACAGCACGGCATGCAGCGGCTTTCCCCATGTTCTCCGCATCGCCGACACTGTACAACAACGTACCACTCGCAGAACAGCTCAAGGCTGCATCCAGCGTGTGGTGTTCAATGTATGCTCCAGAAGGTCTGTAAATAAATGATTCCTTGTGGGCAGAATGGATAGCGCTCGTATAGGAAGTCATCGTGATGTGATAACGGATCTTGGCGATGTGGAAGAACTCTCTCCCTATAAAACGCTAATCTAACTAATATCCTCCTCCATCAGTGGATCTCTGAGGAAGGGAGCTGTACATTAATGCAATAGAGGCTTCTTAGTTTGCTCAGCTGCTTTAATGGATCACCGTGTGTCTCACTTTACATGCATTTCCGGAACTCCCGTATAACCCCCGGTATATGCGCAAGCGCATTAGACTACCGTATATGACAGGAGCTGCCATGTTTTCCGGGGGAGTGGCAGCTTATCCGGCTACCTTCAGTTAGCCTGCGCTGGAGCAGGTTCAAGTTTATGGATGTGTTGCCATGGTGATTTTGCCAAACTTGCTTCGTGGAACCGAAAAGCCTGATCTACGTCATCTTATCCTGACAAGTATCCGGCTAACTCAGTTAGCCACGTACGAGGAACGGGGCCCTGGGGTTTGAGATGCCACCAGATACACAGGAGAGCATGACAACATGATAAATGTGTTTGTGTGAGAACATCACGTTACAGTATAAATAGCTTATTTCAGCCATAACGACGTGAAATAAGTGATAAAAAACATGGAAACACTAATGACGATACATTTCAAAACATGTTCCTTCCATCCACTTCCAGTTTCTCCTCTTTAACAATAAACATAGATTATGAAACTTATCTCAACGTGAACCCGAACAGCAAAGGTGTTCATCAGCAGGAGGGATGAAGCAACAACCACCACTAACATGTAAACACCAGAAGATCAGCAGGTTTGATTCATTTAGCTTTCAGTGAGACTTTCTATAAAAACAGCCCGCATCATGTAAAGTACAAATATATCATGTAAAAATATACTTTTATTCAAATCTTAAACAACGTATGGTCAACACTATGCAAGTATCAAAAGATTCAATCTAAAACTATACTTGGCTTAAGTTTGTGCAGCCTTTACCAAACTCTGTTTTATAAACAAGAGAGAATACTTACAGAACATGAGAAAGAAAAACAAATGTTGGTGCTTTTTTTGGTTCATTGTGTTTGTGTTCATTTTTCTAACTGATCTGTAAACGTGTGGACAGCGTCACATAATGTAAAATTAACGGAAACTATTGAGGATTTCTGTGGGCGTCAGGCTCCAAATATCTTATTTATTCCTCTAAGTCTCTTTCTGCCAAAAACACAAACGATCCATTTGTGTAGAACATTCATTTCATCATAAAAGCCCCTTTGTGTCATCGTCATCTTTACATTTTACACTTTTACTTTGATGAACACCTGATTTAGAGGACATAGTTTTCCTTCATGAATTAAAAAAGTCAAAACTTTGAACACCACCAATGACTCGTATACCCTCCACCTAATAGAATATAACAAAGTGCGCTCTACCGAGACATCCCAGTGGAGAAAACATGATTAACTCGCTGCAGCTTTGGGCCTTTGTATTTCATGTTCTTGGCCCCTCCGCCAAGTACAGGTTTTGCCAAACTTTCTGTCACATTAAAGTCTGACTTAAATTTTTTGGATCCAATTTAAAAATCCTTAATTTCATGCCAGGAGCCATATATGACCTGATTTCTCCTTTATTACAGATGTGACCACAGCTCCTCTTGCTCCAGTCCACCTCATCTACAGACATGAGCAGAAAGATAAAGACTTCAGCTGTCGCTCCATTTACATTTACAAATTCAGGCCTCGCGTTAACATGTTATACAATATAACCTTCATTTACTCGTTCATCCATCAGGAGTGTGTTTTAAACAAATAGAGTGAAGTTTGGTTTTTCTAAAAGTCCCAGGAAGTTCTTTCTTCACTGTTTCTTTTCCGCACAAAACAAAACAAACTGTTTCAAAGGCAGCACATTGCTGCTCAATCTGCACAAATGGAAAAGACTTCCTGGTGCACCGAGGTCTGTGGCATCGGGTTTCTGCTTCGGTTTCTCAGAGAGCTCGACGTTGTGAGGAGCTGGACGGTCAGGAACACGTCGTTACCACGTTTGTTTTGTACGGAGCGACACTTCAACCGACTCAGATAAACAGACAGAAGGTCGAGTTTGATGAACGTTAAGGAGAAACTAAAATACTTACAATTTGAAATGCACTTGGCTGAAATGAAAAGAAAATAAAAAATAATTATTCTGCATGTTGTAGAAAATAGCATCGTCTCTCAAAGTCATACAAAAATATATTTTGACTTTCACAAGCAAACGATCACAGTGCTGCGACTCTCACACTGCTCACTCTGTATCGATGGACTTTTACTGAATTTGAATATTCAAACGCACAGAGAACCGTCTCTACTTCTGCAGCTTTTTAGCCTCTTTCTGGTTCCGTCTGGTTCAGTCTGATTAAACTCACTGTTCACTATCCAGTTGCCAGTTGTCAGTCTTTAGTCTGCGCTGTCTCATTTTAATTAATTCAATTCATTAATCCTGCATCTGTGGTTACTCATCTCTGCTCATGTGACCTCTTTCCAGCCAATCACGTTGATTTCAGGCTGTTTATGAATGTGACTGCCGTTCTCTCTGCCGCCGCTCGACACCAGGAAACCAAGTTGTTAGCTTAGCTTAACTGTCATTTAATTTAACTTTGTGTTTCAAATATTGTCAGACTGTTGGATTTATGGACACATAACCCGTTCCACACATCATAGCTACGTTATGTTGCTGTAAAAAGCTAAAACAGAGTGGGTAGATTTGTAGGCGTGTGAACAGCTCGTTGTGTTATTTATAACCACTTGTTCTCATGGTTATGACTCGCGTACGATCATTTTCCTAACTGTTTGAAAAAGGTACTTTTCTCTCACCTTTTTCTTCTTGTAAACAGAGACTCCGATGGCCGCTGTGAGGATGATAAACCCTGCGACCGCCGCTGACAACGTGATGGGGAGCGTTGCGTCGCTGGGCTTCTCAACTAAATCAAAACAACCGAGAAATGTAGTTTTATAAACTTTGTTCAGGAACAGGGCCACGCCCAGAACACCGCTCATTTCCTCTGCACAGAGTACTTAAGCACAACGAACCCAAACTCCCTCTTCGACTCTTGTCTTCACATGACGTACGACAGACGCTCTCTAACTCAGCAGACGCTCCATCCCTCCATCCCCACCCCACATCCAGACGAGCAAACGCTCTCTGACTCAGCTTTCATACGACTCAAGACAGACGAGCAACGCTCTCTGACTCAGCAGACGAGCAACGCTCCATCCCTACCCCACGTCCTCTCTACGTCGACCCCTACGAGCAAACGCT